ATTTTAACACCCTGCTCAGCATTTGATAGAACAAGCAGAAAGAAAATTAGTACAGATTTAAGAGACTTGGATCACTTTATAAATCAATCTGACATAACCGACATTATAGAACACTATACTCATGAACTGCAGAGCACCATTCTTCTTACATGTGCCTGATGTATATCAAAGGTAGTTCATATCAGAAAACTTCAAGACTGAAATCTTACAGCATCAGCCCTCTGACCACACAGATTAAAATCAGAAGTCAGTAGCACTAAACCATTTAGAAAATTCCCAGTATTTGAAAAACAAACAATACTCTTCTATGTAAGCCATAGGTGAAAGAAGAAATCACAGGGATATTAGAAACTATTACAAATGGAGGGGCCGCAGGCATCAGAGATATGGTGATTTCTGCCACACTCCTGTGTGTTCCAAGCCCCAGGGGCTCACCTTGCCAGAATGGTCCATGGCTTGCCGAGTAGCCACCAGGATTTCTCTTTCTGACTCTGGAAACTGAGGGCCACCAAGACCCACCTCATGAAGTTGGCAGAGATTTAAAATGATGCTAGGAGACAAGGTTTTAAGAATCCAACATGGGCCAGGTGCAGTGGTGCAGGCCTGTAATCACAGCGGCTCAGGAGGCTGAGGCAGGAGGACCACAAGTACAAAGCCAGCTTCAGCAATTTAGCAAGGCCATAAGCAACTTAGGGAGACCCCTTCGAGGGAGGGAGCAGGAAGGAGAGAGAGAGAGAAAATCCAGCATGGCTCTGGCTTTGGGATTGAGTTCAATGCTAAGGATGCATTCAGATGTATAAACAACTACCAAGGAATGCTTGAAGTAGCCTGTGCAGAAAAGTAGCGGGAAAGCAGAAGTGAGGGTGAACACTCCAAAGAAGTTACTAAACCATATGATTGGACCTATACTGAAGCAGGCCAGAGACCCCCCACCCAGAAGAACCCTGCCATAACTAAGCTTCTCCAGAGACCCTCAAAAGTTCTGTTTAGATAATTGTTCTTAGATTATCAGCAAGAATTTGTACAACAGTTTTCAGGTGGAGACTGTGTTTGCAGAGACCGAGTGAGGGACTCCAGCCTCCAGTCTGGGTCTGGAACCTTGATAGAGGCATTTGCATCTCAAAGGACTGTGGGAAGAAAGGAGAGGGTCACTTTCCCTTTCCCAGACACTGACTTTCAGAGTGTCCTTGGCCTGAATTGGGTGCCCAGAAGAGTGAAAAAGCTGCTTTTATGTGAACTTCTACAGATTGTGAGCTTCTGAGCCCTTTCCCTTACACACTAGGTATAGAGTTCTAAAACTTTTTTTTTTTTAAGAGAGAGAGAATTTTAATATTTATCTTTTAGTTTTCGGCGGACACAACATCTTTGTTTGTTTGTGGTGCTGAGGATTGAACCTGGGCTGCACGCATGCTGGGCAAGCACGCTACCACTTGAGCCACATCCCCAGCCCGAGAGTCCTAAAACTTTCTGAACTCAGGGTTCAGAGGGGTGAATTAATGGAGGCAAAGAGCCCCCCCTTTTTGAACCTGGCTGCAGCCTTTAAATCTGCTTCCTGTTATTCCTCGGTGTCCTCCCTGGTCTGTCCTACTTAAATGCAACAGATTATAAAGGTTATAAAGGAATGCTATTTAGAGAATCTCTTAATAGAAAGATACTTGCAACAGATCATACAGATACAGAGAAATTGAAAGCCAGAGAACAGACAATTCTTTGAAGAAATTCTCCTATTTGAAGATGTACTTCATTATCATGGTGTTTCAGGTCTGTAAAAATTAGAGTAATGCTTTCTAGCTTTTTTTCTGCTGTTGTGGTTTTTCTTGAGACTCGATGGGGTGTTTATCAGAATAAATGACACTTGGCTTTACTAAGAGGTAGAAGAGATCTACATGTTATAAGATCATGAGAGCAAAATTGGTTACTTAATGCATGACCCACTTTCCCTGTTCAGGGAATCTAATGAAATATCACAATATTTACTAATAAAGGAGTCTGTGTGAGCAGCTAATAAAGAATCGATCTTAATCCTACAGACATTAATAAGAAAGTACACCTGTGGAATAGAAGGTGATACAGCATATACTCACTGTGGAATCTGACTGGACACCTTGACTATTAGGGTGCATTTTTATCCTGAGAATTAATTGCCTTATTTATGTTTAGATTTTCTATAGCCTTAAAGGAAAAAAAAAAAAGATTGTTGGTTTCAATCAACTGTTGTTTGAACTACCTTCAAATTCATACTCCAGATTTAGATATTCTGGGGTTAAATTTGGATTTCTGAATTATCACAGAGTGTGACTGCAGCAATAATGGTGTGCATATATCTCATTTGCGTGGGTATAATCTGCAACCATCATGAAACACCTGCCTTCTGCCATGAAGCGGTTAATTGAAGTAATTGAATCCCAGTGCGTTCCGCCTGTCATAGGGTTCCAGATGGTACATCTTCATGTATTAGCTCTTCCCTTTGGACTTTCTGATGTTTATTCTCACTTATGCAGAATTTCGAGCTGCTATGGTTTAATGATCTTCATCCATGAAAATTTAAAAAATGTAATTATCCCCTAATTTTAAATTTCCTTTGAGATTTAAAAATATTTTAGATATAGAACCAAAAAACAAACAAACAAAAAACCCAAACCTGGTATTTTGGAGAACTGAAGCTGTTATATACATAGAAATATATGAACCTAGGCTATCAGAATTGTCTTTCCTCCATCTATAAGTGCTTTTTGGCCTGGAACCTAGGTAGTACAGAATTTTAAATTATACAAAAGTAAATTTCAAGTCCATTTGGTTATTTTTATGACAACCCTTTAAATATATTATATTGATTTTTACCTTTCTAGAGTCTCTTTATAAGGAAAATTGTGTAAGGAATTACTTGAAGTGGATTTTTAAAAATGGTATAAAACTTTTTTTTTTTTTTTAAAGGGCAGGGGGAAATCACCCTCTTTTTTTCTGACTTGAAATAATTGTTGTGTATATTGCACTTGATGGAAAAGTCATTAAATAATATTTAATTGAAAGTATTAGAAAAGTTCTTCAGGTATTGGCTTGAAGATTAATTTTAGTGAAAAAAATACACTTGGATATTAATCATTGCTCTAATTTTGGTATGTTGTGGTGAGCCAAAGAGGCAGGGTAGATTTGGTCATACATAATTTTGGAATGTCTCAGCCTTCTGCATTACCTCCAAGGTATAGGGAATCAGAATTTGTTGTTCATTGTATACTAAATATACTCATATTTAATGATTTCTCTTAGGACAGAAAAATGTGTATATATACATAATATATTGTCAGCTTTGTTTTATTCACAGATCTGAACAGAATAGACTCAATTTGTGCAAGTTGTAAGTAATGAAAAATTCATAAGAATGTTTATTAGTTTCTGGGCAACATCATATTATACATTGTGTGCATGTGTATGTATACACATCTTTTTTAAAAAATTGGAAAGATGTACCCAAATGATTAAAACAGCAGGGTACAAAATGCTGTTCAAATTCAAAGGAAGTTGTTAACTCTGCCAAGTCTTAATTCTTCCAAATGATAGGAAGTTTGAGAGGAGCGGGACTTTACTAAGACTGAATACTTTAGGCTAAAGTACAGGCACTTCCATCTAGATTTTGAGACACCTAATCATGGAAGATAGCCATTTTGTAAGTTGTAGGTATTGCTTTCCATTGGAGATGAATGAGCTCTCTGGCTTCCCCTATGAGAATAGGAAATAAAAGTCAGAAAACCGAAATGAAAACTAGAATAGGAAATAAAAGAGTCAGAACTAGATCTACACACATGCAGTCAATTAAGTGTTCAACAGAACAAAGAAAAGTTGTCAACAAATGGTGCTGGTATGTATATCAGAAGCATGGAAAGAGTGAACTTGGATCTCTATGTCACACTGCAACTAAATTAATTCAAGATAATCATAGACCTAAAAGTAAAAGATAAAAATATAAAGAGTCTAAAAGAAAAAAAAAACAAAATATCTTAATGACCTCCGGGCAGACAAAGATTATTTATTTATTTATTTTTGCAAAGATTTATTAAGGAGCAATTAAAGCTCACAAAAAGCAGCAGACAGAAGAAAATGCTGATAAATTAGATTTTGTCAATGTAAACTTTTGCTCTTCAAAAGACAGCTTTAAGAAAATGAAATGGCAAGCCACAGACTGGGAAAAGATATTTCGAATACATTTTATTTGACAACTTTGTACCCAGAATAAGTAACTCCTGTCAGTCTATTGAAACACAACAACAACAACAACAACAACAACAACACTCTCCAAAACAAAGCAAAAGATAGGGACAGATGATTTACAAAGGAAATTACATGAAAGACCAATAAGCACAAGCAAATGTGTTCAGCATCCTTATAAGGAAAATCACAACTACATTAATAACCACAATAATAGATGATTTCACATGGACCAGTGAGGAAGTTAACAAAGAACCCAATGCGTGCACTGGACATGTGTCTACTGCAGCTCTCTTGTGCGAGTGGGAATGCAACTTGATACGGTCACTTTGGTAAACAGGTGGCCCTTTCCTAGGTTAAAACAATGCTGTTTACCAYGGGATCCCGCTGGGAGGAGAGGTGAAACCGGTAAGTGTCTTCCAAAATCATCCTATTGCACACTTAAGTTGTGCACGTTTTACTGAAACTAAAACTGTTATCATCATAAAAGCGAAACCCAAAAATAAGATACATAAACATAAAAGCAATCCCCAGGGCTGCTCTTGGGGGCCTCTGGGTCCGCGGGTTCCCCCGGGTCCGCAGAAAACCAAACTGAGCCGCGCGGAGCGGGGGAAGGTCCCGCGCCTCCCCAGCCCCGGCGGCGGCCGCTAGTTTCAGTTTCGGTTTCCGTTTTCTCAATTGTAAATAAGTTCCCCCGCCGCTCCGCCTCTCAGCTAGGATCCATTTCTGGGAAAATCCCTATCCTCCTGGCGGCGGCCTCCTCCCCTGCAGCTTTAAAAGGGAGCSGGCGCCCAGCCTGGCAGACCCTGCGCGGGAGCCGAGCCAGGATGACGACCGAGCAGCGACGGAATCTGCTCACCTTCCAAGACTATGTCAGGAAGATTCTGGATCCTACTCACATTCTCTGCTACATGGCCCCCTGGTTTAGGGAGGGTGAGTGGTCTCCAACGAACCCCCCTCGCCTTTTACCTGAAGTCCATAGGCTAACTTCCTTTCTAACTTTACATGTGACAGCGGAGCGCCTTACAACTTTCCAGGAGCAGTGGGTTAGTGGCCAGTCCCCACAGCGTTTTATACTGGACATCAGGGTCTGAAAAGCCGAGGGAAGCCTAGCGCGGGGGCCGGGCGTGGCGGGGGGGGGGGGGACTTTGAGTTGCTGCGAGGTGGAATAGCTTATTGTGGGGTGTGTGTGCAAATCTATTTAGGTTCAAAGCTGGGGAAAGAAATGGTCGGTCTCATTTATTTCCGCTAATAATTTAGACCACTATGTGCCCGATGTTGTACTAGCATCAGAGACTGAGAAATAAGATCCAGGCTCCTCTTTAGTATATTTTATAACCTGAGATTTTGAGATAAGGGTGGCAGGAAGGACGAGGACAGATATACCCAAATGATTAAAACAGCAGGGTACAAAATGCTGTCCAGGTTCAAAGGAAGTTGATAACTCTGCCAAGWCTTAATTCTTCCAAATAATAGGAAGCTTGAGAGGAGCAGGACTTTACCAAGACTGAATACTTTAGGCTAAAGTACAGGCGCTTCCATCTAGATTGTGAGACACCTGATCATGGAAGGTAGCCACTTTCTAAGTTGTAGTGAATGGCTTTCCATTGGAGATGAATGAGCTCAGGCTTCCCCCAAGAGGAGAAAGGGAGGTGGTGATTGGAAGGAGTCCAGATGAGAGGAGATCTGGCAGTTTCTTTTCAGTCTCCAAGCAACTCAATGTGAGGGAGTTTTTGAAATTGTATTAGAATAAGGCAGGTTATTCCAGCCCTTAATTGCTCTACAAAACCAAACCACAGTTGTAGAGAAAGAATTGAAGGAATACTACCAACAAAAGTGGACCTTCGCTTACTGGTTGTGCCTAAAGAGAAATAATAAAATGGTATTCCAGTGACCAGATTAGCTTGGGCCTCTGAAAAATATAAGTACAAGGAATACAACTCTTTTAGGAATGCTCGGATGGAACACTAACAAAGTGGTGTGAATCCTATTCTTTTGTGTGCTCATGTATTGACTCAATGAATGCTGAATAAATGAATTATGTCAGGTATTATGTTAGGGTTGGAAGTAATTTACTAAACACATTAATTAATAGGAAGCATCATATTGAGCAATCAATGGTGAGCATAGTAGAAATGGTCCCTGCCTTAACAAATTAGAATGTATATGTGAAGGCAGATAACTAACTAAATATTAAAATAAAGCCCAGTAAGTTCTTTGATGGAAAACCATAGGGTGCTGTGGCAGCACATAGCCAAGATGTATACCTTGTCTGGAGAAGACAGGCAAAACTTTCCAGGTATGTGCCATTTGAACTGAGGTCTAAATTGGAGTCAGGAGACCAGCAATTGCAGGTAGAGCTCATTATGTGCAAAGGTCCAAGGTGAGAGATAAACCAGTGTGTGCTAGGAATCCAGAAAATATTCCCGTGATTTAGGTTGTGGAGAAGGGAGGGAGGGGTTGAGAGAATTGAGGCTTGAGATGCAGGCTGAAGTGGGGAATGCCAACAGTCTTAATTGAATTTATGGTGTAGAAAGATAACTGGCTGTAGTTTGAGGAATGGATTGGAGAAGTAGGAGGAGAGCCAAGAGCAGATGCAGAGATCCAAGGCAAGGGAGTGGCAAACTGGAGGCAGAAAGGCCAGATGAGAGAACAGAAATCTGAAAGAATGTGAGAAGTGGATAGATTGAAGAGACACTTGGAAAGGATAATCAATAGTACTCTTGTGGTGGTCAGGGCTACAGCAGGCTGGAGGACAGCTTCGGGTCTCTAGCTTAAACCTCTGAGTGAATGAATGGTGGTGTATGAGATAGGTAATTTTGGAGGAGGGACAGGTTTGCAGTAGAAGATGAAGGGTTCAGAGTTGGACATGCTGAAGTTGTGTGCTCTGGTTCATCCAAGAAGAGAGATTCATCAGATGGTGAACAGCATAGGTCTGCAGTTCAGGAAAAAAAAAATCTAGGCTTGGGGAGTCATTTGTATAGAGATTTTACTGAAACAGTGAAGAGTAGGTGAAATTGCCTTTTGGATAGTGAGTGAAAAGAACCTGGGACAGAATCCTGAGAAAGCCCATCCTTTATGAATAAACAAAGGAAGACAGAACTGGGAAAGAGCATCCACATATGTGGACATGGAGGTGTTATAGACTTGACCTTTTCTTTGACTTTGGCATTATAGCCATCTGTGGCCTCCCATGGCAATGGTTTCTGTGGAATGGTGATGGGTTGAAGGTGGACTAATTGTTAAGAGTAGACTAAGGAGGGGCTGGGGCTGTAGCTCAGTAGCAGAGCGCTTGCCTGGTCTGGGTGAGGCACTGGATTCCATCCTTAGCACCAATAAAAATAAACAAAATAAAGGAATTCTCTTCATCCACAGCTACAAAAAAAAAAAAAAAAAGAAGAAGAAGAAGAAGAAGACTAGAAATAAATAGCTAAGGGAAGAAATTAAATGTAGGCAGTTCTTTTGAAAACATGATTGTACTTAAAAATTACAATGGAGGCAGTGCTTTGTAGCATGTTCACACAGATCCAGACCCTACAATTTGTATAYATTGTGATTCCAATAAAAAGAGAACAAAAAGGGTAAAAATAAATGGAAAAAATTGAAGGAATTTTTTTTCTAAGAAAGAAGCAGTGTGTAGTAAATGAGTTTATTGAGGAGGAGTCAAGTCTCAATAAATACTGGTAGGATTTTTATAATTCTAGACGAAGAAATAATATAAACATTTGGGAAAAATCCAGTAGGGTAACTTGGGTCTCTTACAAGGGAACCAGTTTAAGTTAGTCTCTTACTTCTCTATAACTCTCATGAAACTATACAATAAAACTGCAGAATTTTGAGAATAAAAGTCTCCCCAAATTTTGTATCCAGTCAGGTTTTTAGGTTGTGTATGCAAGAAAATGTTGTATATGTGGGATCTCATATACATTTCTTATGAAAATTACCCATTGCAAATGATTAAGAACTGAAAAAATTAGTAATAACTCAATAAAGGGAGATCTTAGAGTTYAAGAATTGGTGATGAATGATGAAGCCCAGCAGGTGGAGTTCATGTTGAATAACTGTAAATCTGACTACAAAAGTAAATGCAACATCAGAACATTTTTTTTTTTAAACAAAAAAGATTTTTGTTTAAAAGAAAAAAATCTTTAAAGTCAAGAAATTTGGGAATTATAAGACATTTTTGCTAAATCAGATTAAATGATCTATTTTAGAAAATTGATTTAATAGCTATATAATCAATTTCATATCCTATAGAGACTCTCTCCCAATGCTTAAGGAACTTTGTCAAATTGAAAAGGATAATGATTTTTAAAATAATTATTTGGATTAAAATCTTTACCATTAGTAAGGAACTATGGAAAGTAATCAGAATGAAATTTCTTGCCTCTAAAGGAGAAGATTGAAAAGATACCATTGTACTCTTCTATGATTTTAAAAATGATGTCTGAAAGGGTAAAGATAATGGTACATTAATTTAAACATGATTATATGTTTCATCCTAGAAAAGAAAAAAGGAAAAAAAGCATTTAGTAACTGAARCTAACGAGGAAACAGTAAAGGGAAATATAAAACAAGGCAGCGACTGAAGACATCAGCCATGGCTATGTGATGGGGCAGATGTGTCTATGAAATGGGTCTATGAGCAGAATTCAGGTCTTTGTTGTCTGCCAGAGACCCGGTTCCTAAAGTCAAGAAACATCAAAAATAAGATAAAGATACCTTAAGTAGGGCAGGGGTTGTGGCTCAGTAGTTGCTCTCCTAACACGTGTGAGGCCCTGGGTTTGATCCTCAGCACCATATAAATAAATAAAATAAAGGTATTGTGTCCACTTACAACTAAAAAAATATTTTTTAAAAAAGATACCTTAAATAAATGAAAATGAAAAGAAATCAGGAGATGCCGTTTTAATACTAAAAACCATCATCACACAGGCAGAAGGTACTAAAGGGAAAAAGGTTACCTAATTCACAGCGAAGATATGGCACATCTAAATCTTTGTGTACCAAAATAGAAGAAAAAAAATCTTTAAAGTCAAGAAATTGGGGAATTATAACACATTTTTGCTAAATCAGATTAAATGATCTATTTTAGAAAATTGATTTAATAGCTATATAATCAATTTCATATCCTATAGAGACTATGTCTTACTCTCCCAATGCTTAAGGAACTTTGTCAAATTGATGCTACATTATAGATAAATCTTTAATAAATTCCCCAAAGCATAGCTTTATTAAATCTCTAATTTACAGACTTTGTGACTATAGGGAAATGTCTTAACTCCTCCTCTCTGACTCAGTTTCTTCCTCTATCAGATAAGAACAGCAATCACATTCAGAGGTTTTTGAGAATTAAAGTACATGGCACTAAATAACTGTTAGGTATTATTCTATTTTCCAGAAATTTATTATGGAACTTTCAAAAAATTACCATATACATTTTCAAAATAACTTCTAACAAAAAGAAAATCAAGCCAGTTACAGCCACTTTCACAAGAATAGCAGACAGCCCATATAATACATATTTTTGAGCTATACCTAATCTTCTAGTTAGATTTATAGGTATTTCAAAACAATAACACAAATGAATTAATGAATTTGACTCAAGTAACTACAAAACAAGAGCATAAATAAATAAATAAATAAATAAAACAACTAAATAACCAGAAAACCTCAAAGAAAGCAGAAGAGACAAAATTTCCCCAAATTATTGGAACTAAGGAAGAGTTCATTCAGTGTCATTGCAACAGATGTTTAATGAACAGGAAATTTGTTTTTTAAAAAATACAGTGATCAAAGAAGATAACAAACAAAATCATTAAAAAATGTTTGGTCTGTTTTTGTTTCTGTTTTGCAAAGACTATGAAGATTGAGCAAATTCAGGGTTGTGGAGGGAGTTGAGCAATAGGTAACAACATTTAAAAAAATTTTTA